TTCAGTGATCAGTGTCACGGAGACTGTCCATCATCCTTTAGGAGATGGAACCACTCTACGCCTGGAATCCCAATCACCCAGTCTTGCTTCATCTCATCTTCACTGTGCCTCAATATTCACACATACAAACCAAGCTGCCAAACTCTGAGTGAGCCTCACCCTGCATTTTCCACCTGGTACTACAATGAGTGAGGCAATATCAAGTCCAACAGCCAAAGCAATTCTGAGAAAGAAGAACGAAGCTAGGGGGCATCACGCTTCCGGATTTCAAATTATATTACAAAGCCATAGTAATCCAAACAGTGTGGTATTGGCATAAAAACAGACACATAAATCCATGGAAAAGAATAGAGAGCCCAGAAAGAAACCCATGTGTACATGGTCAATTAAGTTATGACAAAGGAACCAAGAATATACAGTGGGGAAAAGACAGTCTCTTCAATAAATGGTGTTGGGAAAACTGGAGAGCCACATGCAAAAGAATGAAACTGGACCCTTATCTTACATTATACATAAGAATCAACTCAAAATGGATGAAAGACTTGAACGCAGGACCAGAGCCATAAAACTCCTAGAAGATAACATAGGTAGGAAGCTCCTTGACATTGGTCTTGGCAATGGTTTTTTGGATTTGACACTAAAATCAAAGGCAACTAAAGCAACATAAACAAGTAGGACTACATCAGGCTAAAAGCTTCTGCACAGCAAAGGAAACCATCAACAAAATGAAAAGGCAACCTACCAAATGTGAAAAATATTTGCAAACCATATATTTTGCAAAGGGTTAATATCCAAAATGTGTAAAGAGCTTACACAACAAAATAGCAAAACCCCAAACAATCCGATTTGAAAAATGGGCAGAGGATCTGAATAGCCATTTTACAAAGAAGACACACAGATGACCAAGAAGTATTTGAAAAGGTTCTCAACATCAGTAATCATTGGGGAAATGCAAATGAAAACCACAATGAGCTATCGCCTCACACCTGTCAGAGTGGCTAGTACCCAAAAGGCAAGAAATAACAAGCGTTGACAAGGATGTGGGAAAAAGGGAACCCTTGTGCACTGTTGGCAACAGTGTAAATTGCCACTATGGAAACCAGTATGGAGGTTCCTCAAACTGACAAACAGAACCACCGTATAATCCAGCAATTCTGCTCCTGGGTATTTATCTGTAAGAAATGAAAACACTAACTCAAAAAGATTTCTGCACCCTCGTGTTCACTTCAGCATTATTTATAATAGCCAAGACACGGAAGCAACTTAAATGTTCATCAGTGGATGAATGGATAGAGAAAATGTGTATTCACAAATACACACACACACACACACACACACACACACACACACACACACACACACAACACAGTAGAATACTATACACACCAACAAAGAACGAATCTCGACACTCTCTACCACGAGTGTACTAGAG